ATTTCTAGGAGAGAGAGAGAGAGACAGCGTGAGCAGGGGAGGGTCAGAGACAGAGGGAGGCACAGACTCTGAAACAGGCTCCAGGCTCTGAGCTGGCAGTCAGCACAGAGCCCGACGCGGGGCTCGAACCCACGAACCGCGAGATCATGACCTAAGCGAAAGTCGGACGCTTAACCGTCTAAGTCACCCAGGCGCCCCTCTAGTCCTCTTTTTAATGCTCATTGAAAAGCATTGACAGATATATATTGAGTTGTTGTCATATGTACCAGTGGTTTATATCTTCTTCAGTGACCCACACAGTGCCTTTGCATAGTGGGCATTTAATCATGTTTAGGGAATTGAATCTATAATGCCTTAGTTTGCCCCCCACCATGGTTTATGGCAGTAGCTGTAATCCACTTATATTTGCAAAATTTTTCTCAGTTTTTTAGAAAACCCATATGAGATGTGGTAGGAAATACATTCATTAACAAGTAATGGAAATTTGTTGCTACTTGCTACCCCGTTTTCCTTCCCATTTCTTCTTGACAAATGGACCCTGAATTCCATTCAAATATTCACCCCTCATCTATGCATATTTGTATCTTCTGGGGGAGAATACATACAACAGATAAATCCAAGAAAAGAATCGGGTTGACTTAAACTAGTCAATTCATCTCAAATTTCTGGCCACAGTGGTTCAGCCAAGTATGGATACATTACCCAAATTGGGCCAATGAGATTTTAGAGGAATTTTTTTCTTTTTTTGGTGGGGAGAGGAAGTAGACTGTAAGAGACAGCACGTGATATAAATACGTGGCATCCGCAACTTGTGAAAGAATACCTTACTCCTTACTCGAAGAGGGGCATTGTCACACGTGGAGGTGGGCGGAGCTGAAAGCTGCAGACCAAGTAAGCCTCTGGTGGTGACGCTGTGAACCTGGAGAAATGCCATTTTGGTTTGGGGATTCTGTTACAAGGAACCACAAGCATCCTAACAGATCCAGGGGCTCAGACAAATCCAAAGAGGGCCTTGAAAAACTTTGAATAACTTTTCATTTTCATTGGTATTAACTCAATTTTCCCCCCACCTCCTCGTCTGAACCCTCCTTCATTGTTTCATTTGTAAGTATTTCCCCAGTAACTCATGATTTTCATGTCTCCACAACTCTGTATCAAACTATTTCCTCTACTTGAAGCGCCCCTTGTCATCTCTGTTTGATTACTCAGTAAATATCTTTTCTTTTTTCAACCCCTGTCTTCCCTGTGGGCCTCCCTGCTGCATTACCAGTTGTATACAAAAGTTTAGTCACACACTTACGTTCACGTATTTACATTATTTATTTATGTGATTGCCTTTCTTGGATTTTTTGAGACTAAAATTTAGGCTACAATCCTTAAACTCGACCAAATATCTAGTTAGTAAGTTGTGAATCAATGAATAAATGAATGAACGTGCTCTAGTTCTTAACCCTCAAAAAGTAAAATATTAGGTTTACCCTCAGTAGTTTCATAGTTAGCAAGTAATTTTTACTTTGGCTATGATGTTCAATAAAAAAATCTGATTTATTACAATTCTAATTTTGATCTTTTTCTTTTTAAATAAGGCATAGCACTTTTTCAGTGATAGATTATAGGATAAACACATTGACTTCCCAAAGAAGTTTAATGTTAAAAAAAAAAAACCTGCAAGTATTTGTCTACATGCATGAGCATCTCAAGATTTTAATTGCTTTTTACTTCAGGAAGGTTGTGATATATAAACATTTTACAAATCTGATCTCAAAAAACAATGATTTGAATAATCTGTGCTTTAATGCAAAAATGAAACATTAATTTGTTCAGTTTTCTCATACAACATGTTTATTAAACATTTCAGTGTCAATAATTTCTTAAAACTGTAACATTTAACCTTGTAATGGAGCTAATACCAATTCTATTCATGGGAGTATATTTTGGACTTTTAAACAACTTTAAGTAAAATGAATGCCACTGTCTTTAAGTTGTGCTTGGAGCAAAGACAAAGAAACATTAACTCATTCTTTCCAACTAATAAAACTCTACTGATGCAATTTTTGTTATGACATTATTTTAAAGCTATTGTATGTTAAATATATTTTTGCTTCTGTTACTGAAGCTTAGTATATCATCTCTGAACATTAGCAATTTTCACCTAATTTAGATTTTAAATATTAAGTTTTTAACTTGGGCGTCAAGGAAAAATCCTGAAAAATAAAGATCTGCATTTAGCATCCTTTTCCTGCCCTCAAACATAACTTTTCACTCTGCTGTGACTTATCATGGAATCTGGATCAGGATCTTAACTTTTTAAGATAACTTTTTAAAAATAAAAAAAATACTTCTACATCAAAGAAGGAATTCAGAATCACTTAAGTTCTGAAGGTGCATGTGCTTTGATGATTATTTCCATCAGTTCCTTTTTTTTATTATAAAGTGACAATTTATATTACCATTAGAAATATACATTTGTATATAAAGTTTTGCATTCAAACCTCTTTATTTTTTGATTAGCTGTGACTAAAGAACACAAATCAAATAAAAACTCTATATATCCTTATTTCAGAAGCATATGTATATATACACATATATATTTGTAGAACAATCCACTGTTTTAAATGTGACTCTGATTTAAAAAATGCTATTTACAATATTATGAAAGAGAAATAATCTCAGCCTTTTATGATATTACAATGAGCAGGGAATTTTTATGTTTGAGTGTATTTTACCTTGTGCAGACGAAATTAAGTAACATCATGGAAAACCTTCTCATAGCAAGGCCTTGTAGACTAAGCCATGAAGGTAAAATAGTAGATTTGCTATTTCTGGGTCCATGTTTAAAAAAATTACTGTTGATGTAGTCATGCTTCTTTGCCAAGAAATTGGTGGTCCCTAATTAGGACCTTCAGACTTTTCAGTACATGACAAGCCATTCTTCATCCTTTACTTTTGTTATAATATTCTCATCTCTTGCTAGTGGCACCATGGGGCCACCATCCATCCATCCAATATCTGTCTAGAACAGTGTCATTTCTTAAATTGAAGAATTCTTCTATAAAAGCTATCTGGATTAAAATGAGGCCCATAAAGCATCACAATTTACATCAAATTGATGTCTCTTTATTGCGCCAATCCATAGTGGCTAAAAATGTGCTATGAAATTCATATGTAAAACTCAAAACCCAGACTCTTACTGTGATCAAGAATAGGTTGGCTTGCTGTCCTCTAGTTTCCTGAAGCACAAGTCTCTGAATTAGCAAATGGGACGTCAGCACCATTTTGTTTCTCTACCTCAAACTCCTAGCTTAAAAGTCAAGTAGAGTATATTGACCAAAGGACTATTTTGAGATTCTCATAAGTTTTGTTTTCATTCTTAAGCCCACTGATTTGAAACATGTTACGATGAGGACTCTTGGAATAAACACATCTTAACTTATATGTAGTCAATTACAAAGCTTTACTGAAAATTGTATTTTTCCTGAGATTATCCCAATGGATTAAAAAAAGAGCTTATTTGACTTATAGGAATTTAAGAGATGAATGAATTGAGACCCAGAAATTGGAATGATAAAAATCAAAGGAAAGAATTATTTTACTTGGAAGAAACCTGAAAAACAAATGATTTAAACTGGCTCATATTTTTGGAAGTGGAATAATTATGTGTTTATATTTCATAATTTTTTTAAAAAACCTAGACAGTGAATACTGGCTTTTTCTGTTAAAGGTTTTATGTGCTTAAAGAGTAAGCAGCAGTTAAGCAACTACAGGTTTTGTCAAAGTTAATATGTAAAAGAAAGATGAGCTTTCCAGTTAATTCTTCAAAATTAATTGTAAATAAGGCAACACTAATTTCTGAACAGTTACTGTGGTCAACATTTGCTTAAATGATATGGAAATAAAAAAACAATATAGAAACTGGGTGGTTAGACTCCTGCTTCTTAACTGCTATGAGGAAGAAGACAAACACGAATCTAGGTGATAAATGATGGGCAGCCATTAGAAATAGAAGGGGGATTTGTGTTGCAGTTCATATCACCATCATATTTTTCATAATATTTAACCAGATTAAATATATTGTCATGGATCATTGGTGTAATTTGTAACTGGAAATTTGTGAAACTGGCAATTGTGTTACTGATGAGTTTGTGGTGTGTGTGTATGTGTGTGTGTGTGTGTGTGTGTGTGTGTGTATCACCATGAAAGCTCAAGTCATTTCATGTTAAATGAGCCTGTGACTAATTTTGTGGAAGCTTCTTTCCGAATTTTTTCAAAGAAAACAAGGCTTTGTGCTTGGGATTTGTTTAGTCCTAGAAGTGACAGATGTGTTTGAAAGCAAGTTGAATCCAGAGTGACAAGGAGAAATACAACCAGATTTGTAATTTTTTTACAAGGGTGTTCTTTTCCTAGAAGAGCAACATTCTTTTTTTTTTTTTTTAATTTAAATGTCTTTATTTGTTACTTTCAAAATATTTTGTTAAACAAATATCTTTTGCAAAGTTGTGTTCAAAATCCTTGCCGAGGTGCCTAGATGCAGAACGTTTATTCTTTACAACCGATAAGGCAAATTCCTCCATTTCATTTGCTGCTAACCTCCTGATAACATAAATTAAGTACTTGGTGAAGGACACAAACCACTATTAAAGAATAATGATTGTGTAGAGTGAGGGGAACTACATTGACTTTGAAAGAATACAGCAACCAATGGCAAGGTCATTTAAGTGAAGGCCTAGAGCTTCTGCAAAGTGTATATATTTTAGGGAATCATATTTGGAACAATACATGCTGGACAGTAGAGCTATAGGAGAAGTAACATGCTAAGTCTTCTCATTGATAATATCCATAACTCTGCATACATTTTTAAACATCCTGTTTTGTTTTAATTTGGATGTCTTTATACCATTCCTGATTAGTAGGACTACGTAGATCTATTTTTTTCCAACGCGATCGTATAGTATTCATTTCTTCCCTAATATTTTTCTAATACTTTAGTATTCCTAATTATGCATTTGCCAGTCCTTACACTGAGTTCTTTTTTTTTCCTTTCGAGTACTTTAAGCTCACACAATCCTGTGTGTTGGAACCATAGCTGTTAATTCCATAATCTTTCTCTATGCCCCTTGAAAATTCAGCGTATCAAGTTCCTTTCTGTTGTTCTAGGAGACAGACTTATTGTCAACTAGGCTAATTAACAAGGATATACAGCAACAAGCAAGCCACTGGCTTCATAAGATATTAAGTTAGGAATTTCACAGCCATGCCTCCCAATCTCTTGGTGAAGTTTGGAAAATGTTACATACATAAGACTCTAGTAAGGTTCAAAGGCAAATACAATTTGCTTTGACCAATTTCCTAGGACTTATTCCTTATGCAAAACTCCTTTTCTTTCTTTCCTGCTGCAAGAGATGGTACAAAACTCTCCAACACAGCTAGACATGCACCTCTGTTCTCAAACGTGTGCACAATGTAAAAAAAAAAAAAAAAAGACCAAATGATAAGAGCGTATAACTTATTCATCACTTCCCAGGCATGTCAATGACACAGAATTCCCAAAAGTTATTTCAACCTTAGAACACATTTTTTTTCTAAATGACTAAAAAAAATGATATCCTAGATTAATTCCTTTGATAAAAATAGGTGAATCTGAAATTCATTTTTATGAAGGAATGATATCAGCTAATACCATTAAATACAACTGAAGTCTATCCTTTGCATGAAACAATTTTAAGTAACAACTTCAAGAATAAAGTTTTAAGCTTTTAAATGATTCCTGGCTTATACCATACAGGTGTTAGAAGAATCTATAATTTGTACATGTTCAATATCATGGTAAAAAAAGAATCCTGGAGACAGTATGTAATTATGTGTCAATTCCAGACATCCAAAGAAAATTAAAATTCAAAACAAAGCACACATTACAGCATTATCCAAAGTTTAAGTTATTTAGGGTATTACATTGATTTGTAAGTTCAATTCTCCAAAACCCTTGTCTTTAAGATAATAACTTTATTTCACATTTATTATAGCTATGTCTTCATTATAATTAGCCTTTTATTAATAACAACACAATGCTGTGGTGTCTTGATTTATTTTTTCCCTTGATTGTATATGTGCTAATATTTGTGCATGTGCATTTTCTACCACATTGCAACAGGCAAGCTTTGGTTCAATTTCTTTGTCCTACACAAAGGAAGATTTTGAGTGCAGAATCTTAGTCACTAGGTCCTGGGTTGCCATTTTATTTTCCTCTCCTTGGGTGACTTATTGGAAGGAAATGGGTAAAGGGGAGGGGGGAAAGGAAAAGGATAGGAGAGGGACAAAGGGAAGAGTTCTCAGCTATGTTGAATCTTGATTCACGACTTTGCCTCCATTCATGGTTGGTGTTCCAGAACTTTTCCTTGAACGCCCTTGTTTTTCTCCAATTTCATGTAGCGATGGCTCTCTGTACATACACACTGAAAAGCAAAATCACATCAATTACTTATGAAAATAGTGGACATCAATTTGGCCTCCATTAACATCTCAAATTTGATTTCACCATATTCTCACTCTCACCACGAGCTCTTCCCTTCTGTGTTAAAACTAGTTTCAACTGGATAACATATTTAGTGGATATAAAAGGCCTTCTAGTTTATTGGTCATACCTTTTAAGTCTTCTTGAACTGCGGGCATAGAGTGGTTTCTGTTCTCTTACAGATAAGGCTTGAGTGTTACCTGTCTGCTAACCTAAATAATGGGATTTTCATCTAGTGTTACAGGAGACTTTACAACTATAACATTAAAAGGATAGAAATAGATATTTTTTTAGTCCTTAGTTTGCAATCTAGTTTGCATAGGGAAAAAATCCTTATATATATGCTCCTAATCTTTACCCTACTACGAGAAATATGACATTGTTATGTCAAATTGAAATACTTATCGCCAATTTTCAGGGCACCCTATATAAGAGATGATAATAGGAGGGAGGGCAAAGAAAAAAAAAAAACGCCATTTTCCCAATTGCTCCAGGTTTGAATATGCAACTGTGAAATTTTAGTTCCCATCTACATAAAACACTTCCTCTCTCCTCTATTGTTTTGTCTGGCTCTAAAGCTTAGTCATCTGTGAATTATCATGGCTGTTGCTAGATTATTGCATAAAAAGTATTTTTTTTCAATGCATAAGAATACAGTTCTTATTCTTGTAAGACAGGATCTATCATCATATTGAGTATATTAAAATATTCATTATATTGTTGTGAAATAGACACGTGTGATTATATACAAGCATATGAAATATTTCATTCAAATATCAGGAATTATTTTTATCCTTGATTTAGGAACAAAGGATTAAGTACCTCCCTCCATTAAACCATCACTGCAATGCTTTGGCAATCTGAATGTTATTGCCAATCGAATAGCTTCCTCCCTTGGGCTTTGCCCTGATTCAGGAGACCTGAGCATGGTTATGCCTGACCAAATGCCAAGCGGTGATTAAGAGAACCAATTTGGGAGCCACGCTGCCTGGGCCCACGTCCCTACTCAGTCATTCGCTAGCTCTGTCAACATGGACACATTTTCATCACTGAAAACCTGAATTTTTATGAGGATTAAATGTTGGGAATATAGGAAGCATCCAAAGATATTTAAGAGAATGAAGGAGCTGATCTCTTCATGAGAATTTTGAATAACAGATTTCAGAGAACACAGTGATGATTTTTGTTTTTTTGGCTAAATGTATTCTAAATTCAAAACTAGATTAAGAGAGTTAAGACACAAGAAATAGTCTCTTTACACTAGTCAGGGATGAGGAGAGAGGTTTTTTCCCCACATCTCAGTGGTAGAGTTCCTTAAACGTTAATGTGCTTTTGAAACATCCAAGGATATTGTTAAAATGCAGATTTTGATACAGGTTTTCGTGGACTTGAGATTCTTCATGTTTTAAAATTTATTCTGAGAGAGAGAGAGTACAAGCAGGGGAGAGGCAGAGAGGGAGAATCCCAAGCAGGCTCTGTGCTGAAAGTTTTTCAGTGATATGGGGCTCAAACCCAGGAACCGTGAGATGTGACCTGAGCCGAAACCAAGAGTCAGATGCTTAACTGACTGAGCCACCCAGGTGCCCCTCTACATTTTTAATAAGCTCCCAGGTGATACTGATTTTGGACAACTGAACCATGCTTTGGGTAGTACAAAAAGGATATATAAACTACGTTTGCTAAATATATTGTGCAAAATTATTACATTTATATATATTTTACATATGTATTTTAAGGGACCTTTTAAAGTATTTTGATTATTGCACTAAATGGCTCCCCCATCCCAAAAGACCTCTGGCTTAAGTAGCAAAGTTGCACAGAGGAAATGAGTTCAGCATAATTGATTCTGTAATTTTCAGATGATACCATTAGATAATTTCAGTTTCTGTTTTCTTTTCCAAAAGACAAAAGATCCATATGGAAGATCCTATTGAAATCTTCTAATTCCTCTTACCGATATTTCAGTTACGGGGCAAGTGTCAAAAATCTCCAAAATTAAAGCATACTTTTATATATGCAAATATAGCTATTTATTTATAACTCGTAAGTGCACAGGGAACTCAGAAGTAATGAAGTGATTCCATCAGAAAGCTATTCATATGATGCCATAAAAACAGTTTTCCCTATTTTGTTAGTCGGCTATAAAAACCAGTGCAACCACAGGACTGACTACAAGCTGCTAAATCAGAGTCTCAAAGAATGACAAAAATTATATTAAAAAATATATATATACACAATAGATTTTGACCTGCAAACTTCTTAAACTCCAATTTAGAGGTACATGAAGAATGTTACTTCTTTTTCTTTTTTAATTTTTTAAATGTTTCTTTATTTTTGAAAGAGAGACAGAGTATGAGTGGGGGAGGGGCAGACAGAGAGGGAGACACAGAATCTGAAACAGGCTCCAGGCTCTGAGCTGTCAACACAGAGCCCTCCACGGGGCTCAAACTCGGTTGGGAATCATGAGATCATGACCTGAGCTGAAGTCAAATGCTTAATGGAATGAGCCACCCAGGTACCCCAAATATGTCATTTCTGATTTAAAGAATATATTTTTTAAATAATTTTTATAGCTAAATTTATTATTTTACTACTTAATTTTTAGTTTCCTTATGTTCTAGATTCTTCCCAGGGCATTATTTTTTACTTTTGATCTTTTTTTTTTCTTTTTCTCACTCATACATAAAATACTTCAGTTATGACAATATGAAATGTTGCCATTACAATTACCACTGCGGATAACTTTTCCAATAACTAAACGCAGCTGCGCATCCTGGTATAAGTCCTTAAAGAGGCTTTTTTTAAAAATTAGCATCTGAAAATTTTCAGTGTTTCAAAAAGAAAACTCATTAGAACCGTAGCAGAGCACATCACGTGCTTCCCTTCCAGGCCCATTCACTCACTAATTTTCCAATATTCCATTAAATGGAAAAAATAAAATTCTGGGTTTTGAAAAAACTAGCTCATATATCTTCATTTGAAATGAAGAGTAAAACGTGAGTTTCCCAGTTTGCTGAAAATCCCCTTTCAGTAAATCAAATATTTGAATTTCTATATTTCTGCTTACAGAAAGAATTATTTCTTTAAAGAAAACAAACTTAGGTCAATCTAGGAATTGCATGCAAATATGAACAAAGAGAGCAAAAACTTTGTCAGAGAGATTAGTTTCTTGGGCTTTAATTGTCATTATTATTTATAAGCTCTGGGGTGTCGGTAATACCGTCTACCTCAAAAAGCTGACAAATCATGGGGTACAAACCTCAATCAAATTTTTGAATGAAAATGTAATTTTAAAACCATGACCCAATTAGAAAGCAAAGAGAGGACAAAACATCTCTCCTCAGTAATATAACTTCCTTTGATAGTTGTATCAATACTCTGTAACTGTGCTATTCTAAATGGCACACAATAAAAAGACGACACAGAATACAAGAAGACAACAGAAGGTATAAGTGTTCTATGAGGTGCATTATATGTGCAAAATGTAAAACCCAATCACCTTGATGTATAATATAACCACAATGGTAATCTTGTAAATAAACTTTTAATCCCTTAAATACGTCTGTTATTCAAGATTTTTCAAAGCCATTTTAAATTGACTAACTCATTCGATAGTCATATTAACCTCATGAATAAAGTGAGAAATTATTTTTTGTAAATATAAAAGAAACTAAACAACTTTCCTAACATCAGATGGTGTGTAGCAACAAAGCCATGATGAGAACACAAGGCTTCAAAATCCTAGTCTTCTTAGTAAAAGCAGAAGAGCAATTCATCAAAAAAAAAAAAAAAATATGTATATATAATGGAACAGAAGATTCTCTTATATCAGACTGTTTAAATTATATCCATATATTAATTGAGGTCCAAGTTGGCCTTCCTTCTACTAAATATTCCTAATGACATCCAAAAATGTTAAGGAAAACAAATGCTACTATAGGATGACCCTATGTAATAGGATGGCTGATATAAAAAACAAAAACAAAAACAAAAACAAAATTACCAGTGTTGGTGAGTATGTGAAGAAACTGAAAACATTCCACATTGCTGGTGAGGACATAAAATGTACAGCCACTATGGAAACTGATACTGTGATTTCTCAAAAAATTAAGCATAGAGTTGTCTATGTAATGTATTAAAGTGATTACATTTGAATAGATAATATTTTGGATATTTTGGGTTGAATATATTATTAAAATGTATAGCACATTCTGGTTTTTATTTTTTAAATGTGAGTATCAGAAAATTTTAAATTACATATATAGTTCACAAGATATTTCTGTTACAGTTCGATCTGAGAAGAGTTTGTTGTTCTCTACGGTTGTCCTGACTGGAACTAACACTCTAAATGACTAAACAACGGGAAGACGGTGGAGAAAACTTTCTGACTCGACTGGACCTGAGGTTCCTGTGTAGACTTGGTAGGGGCAGAGTGTCTTGGATGCCTTTGGTAGGATGATCTGGGTCACAAAACTCTTACTGACCCTTTTTACTTGGCTTAACTAATGTTGTATCACTTTCATTCAATATGGACTTTTCATTTTATTTTCTCTCCTCCAATTTCAGTTACTCTTTTGTGAACAAATCTCCAAAGATGCATTTGTGCAAGCACTGATTTGCTCATTTACTGATGCACAGGTGCACATTTAATTTGTGCCGAGCACTAGATTCCTTGGCACCTGTAGGAAATGACCTCTTGATTCCTTCCCTCGTGGACCTCCAGGCAAAGAAGGAGAGCACAGACATGCACACAAATCACGGGTATTCAGAGGCAGAGTAGAGAGCTGAAGGGAAATTAGGACATCACAATAGCTATTTGATGTTGCTTTAGCCTTGAAGGATGCAGAGGAGTTAGAGAGATGGCCAGGCTACCGAAGAAGAGTGAGGAAATGAACTGCAGGTAATATAAGAAAAAGTGACTGGGTGAAGAATGGCGTAAAC